CGCATATGCCAGAAGACGTGGGAAAGCAACGGGACAACGCGGCACCGCCAATCGGAGGCAGGGACACGCACGGCACCGCCAGACCGTCTGCACGCAGCAGCAGACCACGAGGAGACGAGCAGCATAGAGCCCGCGGAGGGGCCCCCGCGGAGCAGCCCGCAGAAAGAGCTTGCAGACTTCAGAAGGCCGGGAAGTGGGCGTCTCCGGCTTTTAACTTGCTGTCCTGGTGGTTATTGATTGACTGGATGTGGGCGTTGCTGGTATTGATGAGTCGAGGAAGAGCAGCCTATGGCCTGGGCAGCGGCAGCCGGGTCTACCACTGTGAACTTTCGCGAAAGCTCCATTTCAATTCTAACACATTCATTATACAGGCGTAACTCTGCGTTACCCTTTTGAATGAAACCCCGTTCATTCGAGCTCTGTAAAAGTCCTTGACTAAAGGCATAACTCTGCGTTATCCTAAATGAACGCCCCGTTCATTGAGCTCCACACTACTCTCTTGAATTAGTCCCGGACATAATTCGTAGTGTAATAAAGTCCCAGACTCAAGCATAATTTCTGCGTTTTCCTAAATGAATGTGTTCATGTGAACTTCACACTACTTCCTGGATTACTTTTGGACATAATTTAGAGTGTACAGATCTTGCCTTTGTTGCGATTTCATCAGGAAAAAACTGTAGTTCTCACGTCGACTCCAACCCAGGGCTGTCCTGCCTCAAACCTGCAGTTCCAATGCAATTCCGAGTGCAGAAGGCCTTGTTGTTGCTCCTGGAAGTCCATGTTTGAGACAAGCTCAGCTCCTGTAAGAAGTGTTGGGATCCGGACTCGAAGGACTAAGTGATAATGCTGTTTCAACTACAGTTGAACCTGATGAAATCTCACACAACAAAGAGACAAAGTTAATCTTTTACTTGTTACATTGTCACAAGGAGAATGTCTTGACAGAGGCAAGGCACAGACCCTAGCCTCTCTCAGGACAAGTCTGAAGATTCACAGTCTGCAAGCCCCTTTTGGTAGAACAAGACACACCTTCGTATGCAGATGGGAAAGGAAGAAACCAACACAACAAAAGACACTTAGCATATGAGCTCCCCAGACCTCCCGGTGTCTTCCTGAAGCTAAAGTGAATTACAATAAAGAGCATTCAGCACATAGCCACATATGATTTACCAAAATGATAACTTAAGTTACATTCCAATATCAGAATGTAAATCATAAGTAATTTCAATAGTGAAAACCAGACACCCTACTTTTAAAAATATTTATATTACACTGTTCATGTGGACAAACATGTAAATAAACTGTATTTTGCCACAGTTAGATGACAGTAGCTTGAAGTTTCTTTACTGGTCCAGCAGATGGGTGCAGACATTTATCTTCCCTCATGTTTATCCTGCTTAAGTGGCGCAAAGTTTTCGATTACAGTTGTAACTCTGCGGCTCCCTTTTATTTTTTTCATTATCACACTCACTTTTTTGACAATCTCACACCTTCTGTTTCCGCTGCACACAGCAGTGACGTGACCATAACGCTGATTGGGCCTCTCTCAAACTCAAATGTGTGAGTGTCATCAAATGTAAAGAAGACAGATACGGGGTTCTTTGTTGTTAAATGTTGAACCTTTTACTTCAGAAACATTATCAATCTCAATCAAAAGAACAGATAATGAAAGGTGGGACTGCAGTCACAAATATCATCCGGTCTTTATGAATATTTCTGTTCGGTTCAAAGCACTTAACTCGATAAACTCAATGCTATCAATGCAGAGATTTTTCTTCTTGCCTCTTATTTTTATAGGAAATGATCCCCATCCCACCTTGAGTGGAGAGGGTTTACCTGTGAAATCTTCAACCATTTCACAGGTAAACCCTCCCACTTCCTGCTCCAGGGCAACCATGACAACAAGATTCTCAACAACAACAACACCTTTTTACACTTGTGTTTGTCCCTCTTTCAAAATTCTCACACACTTCTGCCGTCCTTCCGTAAGAGCAACCTATCTATAGGGTCAAAATGTAGCCATCCATTGTCCGTCCATACAAACAAAACAAATAAATAGATAATTCTAAAAATAGCTAACAACAGTATTAAAATGCAACAGCACTTTAGGTCACAGCAGCAGAGGTGGAGCCGCTGCTTGGTTCGGACCATTTTCTCTGCTCTAGGCCAAAGTATAATGCTGAACGCTTCATTAGCATTTTTCAATTAGTATTCCTCAAGTGGATTTTAGCCTGATCCGCTTAGTTTGGACCATAAATCCTCTCTGCTCTGGTCCGGACCAGTGCAAAACTATGAACACTATACTGCAGCTATATCTCAGGTAGAAAAAAAGCAACAACAAAAATATGTCACCTATTTCTACTACACACCTGTCTTCTGAAGACTCAGTGTCATGAAGACGACAGGTTTTAACTACAGGTGATGTGTACTTCAATCTCAAAATAATGCCAAGAAGTTCAATCTTGACATTTCGGGTTCAGAAAAGTGGCTTTGGTGTTAACTCAGATTCAGATTCAGTTTATTTGCCATTTGCAGTAAAAACACCACATAGGAATACATTAGCAAAAGTCACCAGTGTGCACAGACATAAAACAACATTAAAAGACAAAAATAAAACAAATAAAACAGTAAACAAAAGTCACTGTGAAATCGATCGACTAAAACAGTTTCAAAACAAGTGCAAATCATTAAAGTGCTCTGTTCACACTGATAACAGCTTGTGGATAAAAACTGTTAGCGTAACGAGATGTCCTGCATCTCAGAGAGCGACATCTTCTGCCAGAGGGAAGAAGCTGGAACATGGCTTTCCCAGGGTGGCCAGAAGAGTCATTGACAATCCTAAGAGCTTTGTTTAAAAGTCTGGATTTATAAAGAACCTCCAGAACAGGAAGCTCACAGCCCACGGTCCTCTTTGCAGAGCGGAGCACCTTGTTTAAAGCTCTTTTTTCTTTATCTGTGATGTTTCCAAACCACACAGACACAGAACCAACAAGTAAACTCTCAATGGTGCAGCGATAAAAGTTAAGCAGAATCTTAGAGTTAGTGGTAAATTCTCTAAGTTTACGCAGAAAGTAGAAACGCTGACGAGCTTTCTTTACGACTCGGTCAGTGTTTTTAACCCATTTCAGGTCGTTAGACAGAGTTAAACCCAGAAACTTGCACTCCTCTACGATCTGCACCTGGGAGTTGTCGATTACGACAGGCAAATGAGAACTATTGCGACTGAAGTCATAGACCAGTTCACATGTTTTCGATGCGTTCAACTGGAGGTTGTTAGTTTTACTCCACTGAACCACATTTTGTATCTCTGCTCTATAAGAGGATTCATCAGTGTCACTGATGAGACCGATGAGCATATTTGATGATCAAGTTTGAGTCAGAGGAGGACACACAATCGTGGCGCGTCGGGCCCTGACGCACCACGCACATAAGATCCGCCCACAGCTCCACCTGCACACGGATATAACAAGGCAGTCCTAGAGCACGACCACAGAGAGAAGGAAGGGGTTGTGACTTATCTTGGACTTGTCCACTCTAATCAGAGGTGTTATTGTAGTGTCAAGAGTATCGCCAAACGTATTAAGAAATTAAGATTAAGAGATCCTTTATTCGTCCCACAGTTGGGAAATGTCAGTGTTGCACCAGTTACAGAACAGTAGGAATGAGGAGCACACAGCACAAGATCAATGAACAATAACTATAAAAAGAAAATCTCTCCCTCAAGCTTTAAAAAGAAACAGGTATAGAATCTCTGTCTTTAGCATATTGACTCAAAAAAAACCTGCGAAAGCCACATCCCTTCGGACCTGTAAAACTGTGCAGGGTAGGGCCTGGTTAGTACTGTGATGGGAGACCTCTGGGAACATCAGGTGCCACAGTGGGGCGGCTGTGGCTGTAAAGTGCTAAACTGTCATTGTGTCCTTTTAGGCAAGACACTTCACCCACATTTCATAGAATTAGTCTGGTGGTGGTCGGAGGGGCCGACGGCACATACTGGTTGGCTCGATTCTGTCAGTGTGCCCCAGGGCAGCTGTGGCTACAACAGTAGTTTATCACCACTGTGTACGGAGTGAATGAATGATGATGTGTGAAGTGTCTTTGAGTGTCCTGAAAAGCGCTGTATTAAACCACTGCATTATTAATTAACTAATTATTATCACATTTTAAGATTTGGGACTCATCATCTTGTTCAAAAAGGTTACTATAACTTTGGAGCCAATTGACTTGAAAAAGCTCACAGATTTTCATGTACAGCATTTGTATATTTATATATGTAGACAGACAGTAGACTTGAGTGCAGACGAGGAGGAGGGAAGCCCTTCACCCTTCAAAGAAACAAGTTGGCACCAAAGATTTTCCACTGTGACTATATGAAGCTGAGAACAAACCAATCAGAAAGAGCTCCTCCCTTTGATATCAATATAATAATGAGAGAGACACCATTTTATTATCACTTCATGAAAACAGGTCGTCACCAAGATCATGTGGTCCGTGGTATTTGCAGCACTTTCCGTCAGAACAGTCCGTAAGTCACAGATTCACAGATCCTGACCATTGTTGGATTATTATTATTTAACCTACATTTGTTTTACAGAATGTTTGGTGAATCCTTTATTTGTAACAAGAACTCATGCTGTCGGAGAAACAGTGAATCTGACCTGTCCACGTTCTGTCAAAATGGGGGAAAATCCAATATCTCACTGGATCAGAGTTTTGTCGGGAAATTCCTTGATTTTTTTAGGAGGAACTCCCTTATTTGATTTGGATAAAGAAAGTAAAACTTCTCGCACCACGGCAAAACAAGGACAAGGAACCTTTGATCTGATTATACATTCGTCCACTCTTCAAGACACAGGATTTTACTACTGTGTGAAAGTATCTCTACTTGATATGAAATTAGTATTTGGAATATTTCTAAAGATTAAGGGTAAGCCACTTTTATAGTTAGACATTGTTGAGATACTTACTGCAGACTTTTCTCTTCAGGCTCAGGCTCAGAGATGAAAGTGCTGAGTCCTGTTGTGACAGGGTACAAGTATCATCACTACACTGTCACTTTGAGTTTGGGTGTGGTTTTCTTTGTGTGTTTTTTCCTTGTTTGGTGTGGGCCAATGGCCATGTACTTCCTCTTTAAAAGCTCAGTGCACCTTCTCCTCTCCCTGACACACTCCCTCTGTCTGGTGTGAAACAGGTCAGTGTTACCACAAACATTCATTTTAAATTAGCAGACTTTTTACTTGTTTTTTACTATGTTTATTATTGTCATGCTCTCCTGACACACTCCCTCTGTCTGGTGTGAAACAGAGCTCGGGTCCTCCAGGCGGTCTGAAGGCCAACAGTTCTGTGCAGCATCTGGGGCCTGCTGGGGACAAAGCCATACCAGCACGGCCAATCCAAACCGCTGCATTGCCTGGGCCCTGACTTTTAAAGCTCGCACCCTTAAGTTTTAGCTCCAGCCTCTCCCCTCTCTAGTCTTAACCAAATAGCTTTTGATCATACTTTTAAAGACTCTTTTATAGTAAATCCATTTTAAACTTTTAACTGCCGTGGTCTCCTTGTACCCTGGTGACAAAGATTGACTATGTTACTGTGGATTCTGGAGACTCAGTGTAGAGCCCTGCACTTGAGCCCTTGGCCCGAGTGCCACGGACGAGCCGGGCTTCGGGCCGATGACTGCATAATGACCTCGGACACGGGCCGGGCTCGGGCTCGGGCTCTTCATTTTCAGAGCGGCAGAATACAGTTACGAACGCACCCACTGAGTATAGCGTTCTATCACGCTGTAGTGTTTGTTGTTCTGTGTAGTGTTGTCATTGACGGCACATAGCGTTACTTACAGGTGTGTTGCAGCATCTGGGCATCATACAGCTGCAGCCGTTCACTCTGCACCACTCCGCACACACAGAACTCATTGCAACACATCACTACCATGTATAACTCCGCCCTCTAGCTAAGTCTGCGTTCATATCAGTGCGCGGCACTATATACTACGCTAAAACATTGTTATGGGAGGTTACAAAAAAAAAAAAAGTCGGGCTTGATGCGGGTTTCGGGCCTGAAAATTCAGAAACCATATCGGGCCGGGCCGGGCTGGGGCGCCACCCCCTCGGGCCAGGGCCGGGCTCAGGCCCAGATAATAGGCCCGTGCAGGGCTCTAACTCAGTGGAGGTCGGGTGTTCGGTCCAGATGGATGCTCAGTGTTTTGAGGAGCACATGGTTTGGTGGTTTGGATCTGGACTGGATGGTTTGGTCTGGACTGAGAAAAACAGCTCTGCTCAGTGTGACAGCAGTCCTGCTCCTGTTTCTACACTTTCTCTAAAACCTTGAACGCCTCTGACTCCGGCTCCCTCCACTGTGCTGTGGCCGAATGCGGACGTGTTCTCTTCGGAAACGCAACCAAAGTCATTGTCAAAGGTAATGTAACTGTTTTGTGTATTGTGTATTCTGCAATTTGTTACACTCAAAAAGCATGAATTGTTATTACAGAAGCAGAATCAGAGGAATTGTTCATATTAAGACTGTCATTATACTCAGTGTCGCTCTGGCCGTCAGTGTCATGTGTATAACCGTTCTCATTTATTTCATCAGAAATGGCCCCTCTTTCCATGGTAATGTAAGCTCTCATTGTTTTAATCAAAGGTCATGCATTGTTTTCTGTGTATTTCATAGTTGAACATATTGGTGACGAAAGAGTCGATGATGGACAAACAATGTCGTTGGTAAGACATACTTTACGACGATAACCAACATGCAGAATATTTACCACTATATTCTTTTGTAGAGAGAGGCTGAGGTGATTTACTCTGACCCCAAGTGCAACAAGAGCACAGCTGACCGCTCCCAGCGCAGAGCAGTGAAGGCAGAGGAACATGTTCTCTACTCAGACGTCAGAGACAAACTGTAAAAGCAAAGTTCTCACAGAGCCACAATCCTCTGCTTGGAGGCCCCATGGCTACTTCAACCCTGCTTTGTTTATGCTTCTATCTGTTTCCTTCCACTTTAGCCCAGACTTCCCCGTTACATGTTATAACTGTTAAGACTGGAATAGACTCCCCACATTCATACGATCAGTTATGTCTTTTGGTTCATTTAAGGTTTAGTTAAAGCAAAGGAAGGTTTAGTTATTTAGGTTCCTTAAAGCTCTTTGTCACAAATGTTCTGTATTCTGTTTGTGTGTCATTATAGTTATGTTTTACCTTCTCTCTTCCTAAATTTTTACTTAGTCTTTTCTTAAATAAACTTTAACTTATAACATCCAAGCGCTTCTGAATGTGTGGGTCTAGAAAAGCCTCGTCTTTTTTATAAAAACTTCAAAAGACAAATTGATGGTGGTTTAAAGATGTACATTTAAATAGTAAGCTTTGTTCAGAACACAGCAGCACGGCCCCTCTCTCTCTCCTCTTTCATCCCCCCTCCTTGTTTGAGTTGGTGATGTTTGTCATAAATGTAACATCATGTTTGTCAAAAATGTGGTCATCACATTGGGGTATTTTGAGTCCCTAAAGTGAAGATTTTGCAGAATATATCACCATTAATAAAATGGCATCAAATATTGTATTGACTGTTTGTGAATGTATTCTGTTATTCACTTTCTCACTCAGGGTGAGATCTACCACTGTCTCAAACCAAATTCATATCAACACATATTTTCACTCATTAAATGACACCACCAAAATCCACCCACGCTCAATAAGGTCATGCACTTCACAGTTTTGAATGTTTAGAGTGTTGCTGATGGCTGCGGCACATGAAAATCTTTCCACCAGTTAACCCTCAGACGGTGAAACTAACTGACCAACCCCCAGAGCAGAGCTGCATCACAGAAAACCACACTGTTTGGAGCGTAGTCTATTTGTTACTTTTACAGGTTCTGCAAATGCAAGTGATTTGTCTTTTCAAACTATTCAAGCAAGTTTACAGTGCCTTGCGAAAGTATTTGGCCCCCTTGAACCTTTCAACATTTCGCCCTATTTCAGGCTTCAAACATAAAGATATAAAATTTTAATTATTTGTCATGAATCAACAACAAGTGGGACACAATCGTGAAGTGGAACGAAATGTATTGGATAATTTAAACTTTTTTAACAAATAAAAAACTGAAAGTGGGGCGTGCAATATTATTGGGCCCCTTTACTTTCAGTGCAGCAAACTCACTCCAGAAGTTCAGTGAGGATCTTTGAATGATCCAATGTTGTCCTAAATGACTGATGATGATAAATAGAATGCACCTGTGTGTAATCAAGTCTCCGTATAAATGCACCTGCTCTTTGATAGTCTCAGGGTTCTGTTTAAAGCGCAGAGAGAACCATGAAGACAAAGGAACACACCAGGCAGGTCCGACATACTGTTGTGGAGAAGTTTAAAGCCGGATTTGGATACAAAAAGATTTCCCAAGCTTTAAACATCTCAAGGAGCACTGTGCAAGCAATTATATTGAAATGGAAGGAGTATCAGACCACTGCAAATCTACCAAGACCCGGCCGTCCCTCCAAACTTTCATCTCAAACAAGGAGAAGACTGATCAGAGATGCAGCCAAGAGGCCCATGATCACTCTGGATGAACTGCAGATAATTATACTTTCGCAAGGCACTGTATATAGCACAATTCATACACAAGGCAACTCAAAGTTTTGAACAAAATAAAGCATTTAAATCAAATAATCATAGTACATTAAAAAGAAAGATAAAAATATAAAATCCCTCAGTTGTATGCACAGCTAAACAGAACTGTCTTTAACCTGGTTTTAAACATTGTCAGAGAGGAGGCCTGTCTCACACTTTCAGGAAGACTTCCAGATTTTAGCAGCATGAATCTGAAAAGCAGCCTCCCCATGTTTAGTCCTGACCCTGGGCACTAACAGGAGTCCAGTCCCTGTGCTCCTCAGAGTCCGGGCTGGTTTGTATGGTATTAACGTTCTAGTCAGGACTCGAGCTGCTGCTTTTTAAATGTGCTGCAGCTGTTTTACAGCCTGTTTGGACAGACCGTGAGCAGGCCATTGCAGTAGTCTAACCCAGTGGTTCCCAAAGTGGGGGTCCCGACCCCCCGGGGGGTCGCGGGAACCCCTGGGGGGGGGGGGTCGCAAGATGATTTCCAAACAAAAAAAAAAAAAAAAACATTTTGCTAATTAATAGCCCTTAAATATTGATTTAGCATTTGATTTGATTCAAAAGGACTACTTGTTAAATTGTGTTAGGAGAATATAAAATATTTAAATTACGTTTGTAATTTTGTCCAGTCATTGACAGCGTCAATCAAGTTACGCAGCTTACGACACGCGGCGACAAGGCGTGTCCAGCTGTTGTTTGCTAAAACTAAAGGTGTTTGGAGGCTTCAAACAAATAATACCTGCTTTAAAATGAAACGTGGTTAATATCCACAACAGAAAAACCCGGAGGGGGAGAAAAATCACATGTGAGGTCAGGCTGATGGTGCGAAGAGAGGGAGAGAGGGCAGCGGAGGGAGAGAAGGCAGCGGAGGGAGAGAAGGCAGCGGTAGAAGAGGGTGGTAAAGAGGCCCGGCTTTTTGGAGTCAGTGGTAAAGAGGTCCGCACATTAAAAGCGGGTGGCTGCTTTATGCTGTTACTTACAGTAACTTTGGAAAAAGAAGCCGCGGGGATGAAGCGCATAAAGTAACAGCAGAAAGCGGCCGCCCGCTTTTTATGTGCGGACCTCTTTACCGCTGACTCCGAATGAGAACAGAGAGGGCGAGCCGCAAGAAATGCGCTCCACTTCTGCTAAGAAGGGAGCCCACCAAGCCCGTCACTGTGTCACTACGTGAGTAAAAATACGCAAGCCTCCTTTTTTGGGCTGGACAGTGCAGCTCAGTAGTGGCGCGAGTCTCTGCGTTACTCCGTATCAAGGAAATACATGCTCATTGACGGGAAGGACTGTTGAGGTGGGGGGTCGCGGGGGAGCAGCGCATTTATGATGGGGGTCGCGGGCTAAAAACTTTGGGAACCCCTGGTCTAACCTACTGGAGACAAATGCATGGATAAGAATCTCCAAGTCTGCTTTAGACACTATGTTTTTGATCCTGGCAATGTTTTTTAGATGGTAAAAAGCTGCTGATGGTACATTTTAATAGCCACATAAAATCAGTAAGTCTGAGTCCAGTATTACCCCTACATTTCTGACCTTGTTTGAAGGTTTTAGGGAGAGAGATTGTAGGTGACAGATGACGCTCTCTCTTTGTTTCTGAGGACCAAAAACAATCATTTCAGTTTGGTGTGCGTTTAGCTGGAGAAAGTTATTTTGCATCCACTCACTGATCAGTTGGATACAGTGAAGGAGTGAGTCCACTGGTCCATGTTCTCCTGCAGTCAGTGAGACATAGATCTGAGTGTCGTCTGCATAGTTATGATAGGACACTTCGTTTCTGCGTACTAAGCTAACGGCAGCATGTAGAGATTGAACAGAAGAGG